ATCGTTTTTTTGACTAATATTGGTCTTAAACGAATCGTTGAATCGTTCTGAAGCTGTTTGGGGTCTATGCTTGTATAATTTTTAAAGGGGAAGTGGTGACTATTGACGGCTTGGGTCTGTGGGAAAAAAGGGCGCAATCTTGCAAATATCTAAGGATGCCCGTTTGCAAGCCTTGTGGGATATCCTCGACAACAACTGGGGCGGTGGTGTTCCCCCCTCCTCAACCTCCTGCCGATCCAATTCCTGTCGATGATGATGATGATGATTGCAAACCACCACTTCTGGCCATTGAGGATGGTTTAGTTGATGATGGCTACTCCGCTCCACGTCAGGACCCGCCAGCCGAGGACATTTCAACCCCGACTCCATCGCCCTCCGCTTGCGGCCAGGGCAGCCTCACCAATGCTGAACAGGTGAAAGCTCGCATTGACCTGATCAGGCGGGAGTGTCATTCCAACAGTTGTAACCAACCTGGTGTCAATGAGCCTTCCCCTAATTACTGTAATGAAAGGCCTCCCCCAATCAAACAAAAGAGACTGTGAATCAGGGCTGAAAATAAAAGCCTTTAGACACCTGACCTTCCCCAGGAATGTGCTGAATGCTCGCCGTGCAGCGCGCATGCCTTGCTCAGAGTTGACTGACACTGTCCCCGTGGACATGGATGCGGTTGCTCAAGTTTATGCTGAGCCGGAGCCAGCGCCTGTGGAAGAACATGCTGCTGGTGAAATGATTTCCACCTACCAGAAAAAGGTTGGAAGTGAAAGTGCAACCCTTCGTTTGGGAGAGGAACCAGTCCCTGTGGAGAAGACCGCGCTTGAGGAAACTGAGGGGTCCAAAGCTGGTCCTGGCGCCGCTGTCTTGCCCAAAGAGATTGCTCCTGAGGTGGGGGAAGCTTCCAGTGAGCAGCCTTTGCCCCCCTGTTGCAGAACCCCCGGCGGGCGACTGCACTGGTGAACATCCTGCTCCGCCCCAGGTACCAGTTGATGAGCCCACAGACGCTGCTGTGGGGAATGCTTCCGAGGGCAAAGGAGCTGACAAGGTACCA